TACACGATGGGAAAGGCTAGAAGCAAGTCTTATCTTTACACATGAAAAATATTCAGCAGTTTCTACCAGTAAATGATAAGAAGTAAATATATACGACGTTCTATCAAACGCCTGTCCATTGCCTTCAGCAGATGACTTTTACCAACTTACGTTAAGCAGGATTCTTTAGTTGTCGAAATAGAATTCCTTAAAAGAGGTAATATTATCTCATATATGGAATCTCCGAAGCCATGGAGTTAGATCAATAAATCCATTTCGATATTCTGCTATAGCAGTTGTTGAATGTTGTCACTGGTAACTGGAAAGCTACTTACAGGCAAACTGCAAGGCAAATATCAAATTTATGCGATTTCGTTACCGTGATAGAATATGACTATTATATTTTCTTGGAATAACAAATATGGCTATTACATTTTCTTGGAATTAATTATCAATCAGCTTTAATCTCAGGCGTTGACCTATAAAATAAATCCTTTGTTATTTTTCTATTTAATTTATCAATTAAATGAAAATATCTACAGAGAATCCAAAATGTACTTTAAGCACTTATAGTTGTGTTATTGTGAGGCACGGTGGCGTAATGGATACCAGACTGGATTGAATAATTGGAGAGCCGAGTTCGAATTGCAGTCGAATCCATTATATTAACTTATGTACTAATACCCTTGGGAAAGGTATGAACCCTCTTCTTCCCCCCACAGCTATGGGTAAATAGCAGGAAAGATCTGGTTCTTGGATGGCGACTGGTCTACAGCAGAAAGAAATGGCAACCTATCACGGAGAAAAATCTGCTTCGTCAGTCATGTATCGAAAGATACATGATTGCCTAAGCGTGTATCAAATAGCATGGCACATAACTGACTTTGGAGACACGGTGGAGTAATGCATAGCGGCTCGGACTGAGGAATCGGAGGATCCATTACATTTACTTACGTGCTTATACCATTGGGAAAGGTATGAATCCTATTCTCCCCCAAGCTATGGGTAAATAGCAGGACAGAACAGCCTTGGATGGCAACTGGTCTTCCGCAGAAAGAAATGGCAACCAACTGCGGGGAAAAATTCTGCCACGTCAGTTGTATGGCACATAACTGACTGAGTTGCATGATTATGATACAATTGAGGCAATTGTTGATTAATTCTTTTTACGGCTTATCAACCCATTAGGGATTATTTACATCAGTTATTTCTTTTTTATCTTTCACTGGTGAACATTGCAATAAGAATATTTTTTCTTGGTTTTCATCAGTCTATCGCAGAATGACAGCAACCATTTTCCGCGTGAAAATTATGAATCGAAAGAGACATGATCGTCCCGCCGTGTATCGCGTATGGTACTTAACTGAGCGACCTGACCTTGACGTTTAGAGAAAAAACAATATATTTTCCATTGAACTTTGTTGCGAGGAACTTTGTAACTGGTTTCTTTCAATTTGAAATAAAACAAAGATTACTTTTATAATCAATAATAAAATTATTTAAGTTTGTAGGGATGTATTTGAAGATTATTTATTTTCTTCGTTTTTCGCGCGGAATATTCATCTACAAATATATATACATATGTGTGTATGTGCGTCTGTACCACGAAAGCCTCATTCTATGATGATAATGGCAACACCTACATTCAAAACTAATGGTGCCAACATAGGAAACCCATTAGGTCTTTTTTACTCTAACATTTATATGTCTTATATTGAAAACAAAACGTCTGAAACAACTGACAAAGCCACAAATCTACACAAGCTACACTGACGACATTTTTGTTTTGATAAAATTCAGGAGAAATTATGAATCTGAACTCCTTTGAAAAAGACTCAAATCTAAATTTAAATAACACCAATGGTTAATAACAAAATCCCATTTTTCGACGATATCCGTATATATAAAAAAAGCCACTAGCGCGAACTTTTGACTTTTAAACTATGATAGCCAATGCCCAGAAAGATATAAAATAACAGCGATAAAATACTTTCTAAATAGAGCACACCGACATTCCTCTTTCCCCAAAATGTTTCTGAGTGAACTAAAACACATAAAACAAACATTAGTCACAATAATATTCTTTATTACATCATTGATAAACATATAAAATTATTTTTTTAAAAATACACGACACCAGTAACAATTAATAGTAAATATATAGCTATTCGGGATCGTCTTAAAAACGTATCAACTATGCGTGTTACAAAAAGTTTAAGAGTAATAAACTCATCATCAGACGCTGAGAATAGGCCAATTCCCTTATTCCACCATCTTTTTTAATTATATATGGGGGCGCCGGCTACGACCGATTGCAAGAGGCAGCTGCCACCCACGAAAAAAAATCACGACTATAAATATTCACTAAATGAAACGAAATGAAAATATCATCTCGGATACGAATTAAATCAAACATTTGTTTGGTTCAATTATATTTCATTGACTGTTTAATGCAGGCACACACACACACAGGCACACACACACACACACACACACACACACACACAGAGGCACACACAGAAACACACACGCGCACACACATATATGCAGAAATATTATTTAAAGTGTGCTATATTTATGGGATAAAGTGCTCAATATCAGAGATGAGCGTATGTAAATATAAATATAAAAGTGAACTTGAAGTCAACACTCAGAGGCGACAGGCTGTTTCATGCTAGTCGCAATCTTCAAGTCGCCAGCGTTGGATTTCTCTCGATTATTTATATATATGGGTCAGTGGTGTATTGTGGGTAATCCAATACTCATGCCTGGTGATTGCGTCTAGCATGAAACAGCCTGTCGCCCATGAGTGTTGACTTCAATGTTCACTTATATATATATATATATATATATATATATATATATATATATATATATATATATATGTGTGTGTGTGTGTGTGTGTGTGTGTGTGTGTGTGTGGGTATAACATCATTGATAAAAAAATAGAATTATTCTTACAAAAAATACACGACACCAATAACAACAATAACACAAAACAAAATATCAAACTATTCGAGAGGCCCTGTATATTAAACATCTCTCTTTTACTATCAAGCACACCTTATTTATTAGTGAAAATGGAGTATTAAAAGCTTTTTAAAGATAGAAAGATGTTTACGCGAATTCCAACCGCGTTCGACATAAGAAAGCTCGGAATAAACGCTCCTATTCAAAACAACGTAAAAATAAAATACAACTTAGTCTAAACATGAGGAAAACTATCAACACTAAAAATAAAACACCCTTGAAAATGGCTAAAGAAATGGACGAAAGCGCTTCGGACAATGAAAATTATAGAACATTTCTATATTTTCTTACTCCTACAAAACGGTAAAAAAATTAATCAAATATTCCTTGTCTGTCGTATTTAATGTAAAAGATACTTTAAAGAAAGATTGCTGCCCATATATAAATTAATATATAATTTTATAATATAAAATTAATACATACGCTATAGCTTAAAGTTTTCAGGCGCATTTGTGTTTATTCAACACCTACAAAGCCCACCTGTAGTTTATGCTGCAACTATGCTGAGCAGACCTTTGTTACATTTTATGGGAAAGAGCGTGTTATCTAGAATGATCAACAATTTGAACAACGCCAGCATACTCAAACCCTCGTTTACGATGTCTTGTGACTTCGTGTTAGCAGCTATCGACGACACCCAAGGCTTTCCTTCTACACAATTTCATTCACTAGTTTCTTCCAAAAGTTTTGAGACATTTTTTTAGGAAAAGGCATTTATCAGTGTCCTAGATCATTGTAATTTTAGTACATCATTAATATGCATCTAATAAGCTAACCTGCCAACTTGTGTTATTCCATATATAAAGAGACGACTGTAATCGCTTAATGCACACAATCTACTAAACACTATTTCTCACAGATGACTAGTTTGCAGAAAGCAGTCGGGGCATTTGTTTGGCCTTGAAAAATATTGCGTCATCCGTGATTTCATAAGATTTTTATCATGCCCAGTCACTATTTTTCCGACTATCGATTAGTTGTCTTACCGTCATTATCTGCATTTGTTTTTACTCCAAGGAAGCATACAAAAATTGAAACGCTGCACGAACACACTGGCGACCATTACCAGTGAGCAAATCAAAGTAATATCGACTGGCTCGGAAACGCTCCTGATTTAAATCCAATCGAGAATCTGTGGTCAATCTGCAAGGGACAACTTCGTGTAATGGACATACGAAGTACTAACATGTACATTGAATCATATTTCATATGAAAAATAATAAATAATAATGGAATTATTCGTTTTGTTTCAATTAATTTGCACAAGGGTATATATATATATATATATATATATATATATATATATATATATGTTTTGACACGCAGATTCACTCTACCCCTTTCTGATCATAGCTCAATTAGATCTCATTTAAATATTCATGGAGACCTACCGGACACTATTCGTAACATACTTGTTGACAACACTAATATAATAGCATCATCTACATGCCAAAAAAGGCTAAAAATAATGGAAGCCTTATTAAAAAAACAAAACAAAAAACAACAGCACTTAATAATATTAACTTTGAACATGGACACAAAATCTTGACAGTATTTTGAAAAATGAAAACATTTTATAAAACATACACACAACAAACTATTTCTTATTTAACAGTTAAAATGTTTAATCCTTGAAAATGGCTAAATGTATAGCCGAAAGCGCTCGGATAAAAAGAACATTCGGGCAGTTTTTATATAATTTATCATCTGAAAAGAAAAAAAAAATTAGATCGCATGAGAAATTGTATAAAAAAACTAAATAAAAGCACCTTGTTTGTCGTATTCAATGAAATGTGCATGAAAGAAGGATTGGTGCCTAAATACCCACACACAGACGCACACACACATGCACACACACGCGCGCGCATATATATATATATATATATATATATATATATATATATATATATGTGTGTGTGTGTGTGTGTGTGGATTATAAAAAGAAATATGATAAAAAAAAGAGTGGAAAATGTGGAGAAACACGGTCTTTCATGAACAGAGAATGTGACACGAGAAAATTAGCGAGAAAGAGTTTTTACGTTAATTCACTATAGTGACCATTTCTTTAATATTCTCCTTATACTGATTAGGATCGTCTGCAATCTTGTTTAACGGTATTTGTTCTATAGAACATCTACCATGCAACTAAAAAGCATTTTAGCCGGTTCTACATTATTTGACAGGATATTCTTGTTCCTGTGTTTTCTGGGATGATGAATGATTATTGACATGATTTACACGAAACTGCCTATTTTCCTCATCTTGATTGCTTTATTTATTATCAACGTTTCTGAGATGAGGAATGATTACTTAAATTTTTTAGATGACCCAGACTGATGTCATCATCTTGACGGCAGTCGCCTACAAGTGGCCATTGATAAGCTAACTAATTTTGCTTCTTTACGAAACGCTCTAATTACATCTGTGTATTGAGAAAATTTCATTAAAACAATAGGAACAGAGAGGGCAGACAAAAATAGCATTAGATTTGATTGCAATAAAACATTTGTAAATGAATCAAGTGTCGACATAAATTAACCTTTATGACGATATGCCGTTAAGCAAAGCCTTCACACCAAGAGACATCTATCTCTCTATCTATCTCAGTCCGTTCATATCTATTTAAGTCTGTTCATCTCTCTCTCTTTCTCTCTCTCTCTCTACCTATCTATTTATCTCTGTTCATTCTCTATCTATCTATCTATCTATCTATCTATCTATCTATCTATCTATGTATTTCAGTCTGTTCATATTTATCTAAGTCTATTTATCTCTCTCTATCTAAGTCTGTTCATATCTATTTATCTATATCAGTCTGTTTATATCTATCTATCTAAGTCTGATCATCTCTCTCTATCCATCTAAGTCTGTTCAAATCTATCTATCTATCTATCTATCTATCTATCTATCTATCTATCTAATTCTTCATATCTATCTATCTCAGTCTCTTCATATCTATCTATCTATCTATCTATCTATCTATCTATCTATCTATCTGCACATAATGTCTCTCTTTATATATATATATATATATATATATATATATATATATATATATATATATATATATAATCGACTCTCTCCCGTCGAAATTCGACGTATGAGGGTCAAGCAGATCAGTTTCCAGGAAACCGACACCAGCACATGAGATTTGATTATAGTGGTGAAGGCCTCGTGCAGGACCATCCACACTGGTGCACCGAATGCCACAAGGTTCCCAAACGACCCTCTGAAGGTTTTGAATTCAGAGTTGACCTTCTCCTAGACCAGTTGCCATCCGAGGCTATAGAACCCAGTCTGTCCTGCTATTTTACCCATAGCTGGAGGGATAGGAAGAGGATTCATACCTTTCCCAGCACGTAAGTGAATGCAATGGATTCGACTGGAATTCGAACTCGGCTCTGCGATTCCTCAATCCAAGCCGCTATCCATTAAACCACCGTGCCTCTCTCTCTCTCTCTCTCTCTCTCTCTCTCTCTCTCTCTCTCTCTATATATATATATATATATATATATATATATATATATATATATATGTCAGTGTCTGTGTGTGTGTCTGCCACTGTGTGTGTGTCTGCCACTGTGTGTGTGTATCTGTCAGTGTCTGCCACTCTGTGTGTGTGTGCCTGTGTGTGTGTGTGTCTGTCAGTGTCTGCCACTGTGTGTGTGTATGTCTGTGTGCCTGTGTGGTGAGGAACAGTTAAAGATTGCTCTACTATTCGGCAAGAGGTGGAGCAAAAAAAAATATGGCTTCTCGCGGATTACTGCCGTCTCCTGGTACAGATGGACACTTGCTCATACACAAAGTTTCCGGGTGACATCAAAGCTTTCTACTTTTTGTCTGAATGCTTATATTCAGCAGGTGGCTTTATTGCTCACTGAGCTTATGATGTCGTCACATTTCGAATACACAAATCAGAACTAACTTCTTTCTTAAGATAATCTGCGCCAATTCTAGTAATAAAAAAAAAATGAATGCAATCAACAATTTCTACCAATATATATTTGCTATTTTGAAGCTATAAGACATTGTGATAGATCCGATATTATTATAGAAAAGTTAAGCAAAGAAAACAAGTACATTATTATCCTCACGAACAGGCATTAGGTAACCGTCATATTATGAACTTAACATGTATAGAGTCTCCCATATTGTTTTCTGTCTATATCTCTGAGATGACGTATTATTATTACTTGTATTATTCGGACTGTTATCGCCATCTTCATTAGCATATTCACGACGTTTCGGCCGTTGTACGCCCAGGCCATCTTCAGGATCTGTCTATATCTCTGAGATGAGGTACTATGATTACTTGTATTATTCAGACTGTTATCCTCATCTTCATTGCCATATTCGAATCATTTCGACTGTTGCACGCCCAGGACTTCTTCAGGATCTGTCTATATCTCTGAGATGAGGTATTATGATTACTTGTCTTATTCGAACTGTTATCCTCATCTTCATTGCCATATTCACAACATATTGGTCGTTGTACGCTCCGGCCTTCTTCAGCATCTGTCTATATCTCTGAGATGAGGTACTATGATTACTTGTATTATTCGGACTCTTATCCTCATCTTCATTGCCATATTCACATCGTTTCGACTGTTGTACGCCGAGGACTTCTTCAGGATTTGTCTATATCTCTGAGATGAGGTATTATGATTACTTGCATTTTTTACATTATTCGAACTGTTATCCACATCTTCGTTGCCATATTCACGATATTTCGACCGTTGTACTCCCCGACCTTCTTCAGCGATCTGTCTATACCTCTGAGATGAGGTATTATGATTACTTGTATTATTTACATCATTTGGAATCTGATTCTCATCTTCATTGCCATATTCCCAATTGCCATATTCACACTTATATTGTTGTTATATGCTCTGACCTTCTTCAGGTAATTAGAATTTCGTCCACCGTGGTAGATTGTTTTAGTTTCCCATAGCGAAACATTGTAAGCCTCTCGCTACACTATGACTAATCCTATGGCAAATGTACAGACCGACTACATTCCTTACTGGCACCAGTTTAAACCTTCCCGGCTAAGGCCAACCATAGCAGAGATTGATAGATATATAGATAGATAGATGCAGATACATACGTATATATATATATATATATATATATATATATATATATATATATATATATATATATATGAAGATAGATTGATAGAAAAACAGACAAAGATAAATAGTTATAGATATGAAAATAGATATAGACAGATAAAATCTCCTTGGATGTGAACATAGATAGATAGATAGATAGATAGATAGATAGATAGATATATACGAGGATCATTCAATAAATAAGGTGAATTTTTCGGTATAAGGACTTCTAATACAGATAGAAGCTTACTTTTTTTTTATTTTTCAACATAGTCTCCCAGCACTGTCACACACTTTTCCCATCTGTGCACAAGCTTCTGTATTCCCTCAGCGTAAAAATCTTTGGACTGATGTCTCAGCCAGTCGCTCACAACACTTTTGACTTCATCGTCACTTTTAAACTTCGTGCCTCTCGTGAACACTTTCAAGGGACCAAACAGGTGAAAGTCTGAAGGGGCAAGGTCTGGGCTGTAAAGGGGATGAGGGAGCAGTTACCAGCCCAGCTCGTTAATGGTCTGCACCGTTTGGGCTGCTGTGTGTGGCCTTGCGTTGTCATGATGCAAGATGACTCCTCCTGACTGATGACCTCTGCGTTTGTTCTTTATGGCTTTCTTGACCTGCCTCAGCAGTTCACAGTAGTTCTTCTGTCAGACTGAATGAGGTCATTGACTGATTCTATTACCTCAGGAGACCTCACCTTTGTAGGCGTCTCCGGCCTGTCGTCATCCTCAACACTGCTCCGTCCTTCTTTAAACAATTTAGCCCACTTGTAGACATTTTTTTGGCTGAAACTTGTGGCACCATACACAGTTGACATTCTCCTATGGATTTCAACTGGTTTGCACCCTTCAGCAACCAAAAACTTGATAACTAACCGCTGTTCAATACTGGAGCATGCTTCTTGGTCGGCCATCTTTGTTAATCGCCAAAACTTTCAAAGTTTTTTTTAATCTGCAAAAGAAATTAAATCCATGTGAAAAAGAAGTAAAAAAAAAATAAATAAAAAGAGTAAGCTTCTATCTGTATTAGAAGTCGTTATACCGAAAAATTCACCTTATTTATTGAATGACCCTCGTAGATATGGAGATCGATATAGATAGACTATAAACCTCCTTAAATGTGAACATAGATAGATAGATAGATAGATAGATAGATAGATAGATAGATAGCGACTACTTTTACTCAAATTATGCAACGACTTTTATACAACCTGTAGAATGTTTTCAGTTGCCAATGTTTGCATATCTGTGTGCTTTTGGTCGAGTGATACAAGTAAATATCTGGAACCTCATCAAATGAAGAACGTTGAAAACAGATTTCGTGCCAAACGCAATCAGGATAGAAATTTGCCCGATGCAGTCAAGTCTGTTTTGTTGAATCCATTTCAAACCAATGTAACAAATATTGATAGAAGTGCCATATCATTCATGAGAAACAAATATAAGGACAACATATTTACTCCAAACAGATTTAACTTATTGCAATCTCAGTTTACATATACATATATACAGTCAACGACGAAATTATTCGTACACTTCAATTTCGAAAAATTTTATCCATTTCTCAGAATCTAATGCCCGTATGAGGCAAGATTTTATGATAATCAGCAAAAAAAAAAAAGGAATATAAAGTTCAATTTTCAGAACAACAGGTTAAATTTGACAGGCGAATAATGCAAAATAAGAAAAGGCAAAATTATTCGTACGGTATGAAAAATAGAAAATATTGAACTATTGTCACTATATTGATAGTCAATAACATGGCCTCTCATCTTTATAACTTGTTGCAATCGTTTTCTAAAGTTTTTGATGAGAATTAAACAAATCTTTTCTGGGATTTTCTTCCATCCTTCAGTGGTTACACGTTCTAATTCCTGAAGGTTTCTTTTGGTAACCGACGATTTATTTGAACTTTCAATTCTTCCATAGATTTTCAATTGAATTCAAGTCAAAATTCACTGAAATGCATAGCAGAACTGTAATAATCTTTTTCTGAAACCACGCAAGTCACTGATTTAGATTTATAATTAGGATATTAAAATTCTGTATGAAAATTTACAACCATCAGCGCAAAATCTTCATCCAGGTTTTTGTGCTTATTAAAATAAAAAGGTGCATCATACGGACATTAGATTCTGAAAAATAGATAAGAATATTCAAAATTTATGGGTGTACGAATAATTTTGCCGTTGACTATATATATATATATATATATATATATATATATATATATATATATATATATATATATATATTAATAAATATACACACACCTTGATTTGGGGTTCGACTTAAGTTTCGTTGTTTTACCAACTCATCAGGCACGAAATATAACTTATGACAATCATAAGTTATATTTCGCGCGTATATACAGTTGGTAATATCGAGTTATTTGATTTACCCAACTTTATATATATACATAAGTGTGTGCGTGATTGAGTGTGTGTGTGTGTGTGTTAGTAGGGTGTACAATAATATCCGTACCAAAAGTTCAGGTAAAGGAACAAATTGGAATATCTATTTTACGACGCGTTTCGCCGACGACGTGTGTGCGGCTCGGTGCCTTCATGTTGGAATGAAATGCAAGACTTTGTTAAGGGAAATGCGTCGCGTTTTTTAGGGTAAGAGGAAGTAAAAATTAAAACACCTCATCACATCCGACGACTAGAGAACAGAAAGTTTTTTAAGCTATTGTCCATCTTATCCTCATTCTAACCTGAAGAAGTTGAATCTAAAACACGTTGTCGAAACGCCTGGTTAAAAAAAAGCAAAAAAAACATACAACTAACTTTTCATCTTTGCCTCGTTATCGACACACAAAACACTCACACACACACACATAAACACTCATAGAAACACAAACACATAGGAACACACACTGATAGACACACACACACAAACACACCCACAAACGTGCATACACACATGCATACAAATACATGCAGACGCAGACACACAAGAAGACATATATACCGTGAGAGAAAGAGAGAAAAGGAAAGGATCGTGAGATAGATAGATAGATAGATAGATAGATAGATAGATATGCACAGGCTTAGATATGAAAAGACTGAAATAGATAGATAGATATGAACACACTTAGATATATATATATATATATAGAGAGAGAGAGAGAGTGTGTGAGATAGATAGATATGAAGAGACTCATATATATATATATATATATATATATATATATATATATATATAAAGAGAGAGAGAGAGAGAGAGATAGGGATGAACAGAGATAGCTAGCTAGCTAGATAGATAGATAGATATGCACAGACTTGGATAGATAGATAGGTAGATAGATAGATAGATAGATAGATAGATAGATAGAAGGAGAGAGAGAGAGAGGAAGAGAGAGTGAGAGATAGATAGATAAGAAGAGACTGAGATAGATAGATGTCTCTTGGTGTGAAGGCTTTTCTTAATGGCATATCGCCATAAAGATTAATTTATGTTGACACTTGATTCATTTACAAATGTTTTATTGCAATCAAATCTAATCCTATTTTTGTCTGTCCTCTCTGTTCTTGTTTTTAATGACACTTTCTTAATACTCACATGTAATTAGAGCGTTTCGTAAAGAAGCAAAATTAGTTAGCTTATGAATGGCCACTTGTAGGCGACTGCCATCAAGATGATGTCATCAGTCTGAGTCATCTAAAAAATTTAAGTAATCATTCATCATCTCAAAAACGTAA